ATAAAGTTTCAGGTAAGCTTGTTCCAATACTTTTTCCTGTTTCATTCTATTTTATTACACAATTTGAATTTATTTATTTTGATTTCGTTTCAGTGTTGATCTCTTGGTTACCGACATCTGTAAAATTTCATTCAATACACCTTTGGAAATATATTTAACTTGAGAATAAATGGTGACTGTTATATATTGTTGGGTCTTTCGACCAGGCCAACAGAACTTTGCTCCAATGATTGGATTTAAATGTAGAAGTGGTACGCATTTCACTTGGAACAAAAAATTGACTGCCTCTGGTTTTTCTGGGATAACAAGGACCAGCATTCCAGCAGGGCACTCTCAACGCCAGGGCCGGTCTTCAGCCCTCTGGAACATATCAATATGATCCACATAAATAATTCCTAATTACTGTTTTTCTCATTTACTAACATAGGGTGGATAAATACATATTATTATTTCATTGTTGAGGCAAAGTTTTTGTTGCCAAAGGAATTGAAGGGCTGTTGTCCAAATATAGGCAGCTTGGAGTTCAGTGGATTGAGGGCAAACAAAAGGCCTGGCCTATTGATTGTAAGTTTATGGTATTCTCGCACAGATGAAGTAACCGGGCGAGATTACAGCGTATGTGGGCGAGGACCAAACCCCCTGGTAAGGCGATGGCCGCTGTTACCGTTGGTAAGCTTGCTGATCTAGAAACAGGTCAGCAAGTGTTCACCGTCGGCGCAGGACTCATACTATGAGTGAGACGCATCGCACAACAAGATTACTGCTCACGCTTTTAAACTGGTTTTGATTGGTATCGTCTGAGCGAAGGACATGTTGCCATGTTAGTTAGGTTTGAGATGAAGAGGCAATGAAATACAACAACATTGTGCATTGTACACATTGGCTGTTAACCAAAACAACAAGCAAGGCACATGTTCTTATTTAGGGCTCATGACATTTCTTATCTTCAGACAATTGTTCTTTTTTTGCTTATCGCTTTCAATGTCACGTCACTCGTATATTGTTGATTTATTTGAATTGAATTACTGAATTAAATGAATTGTATGATTTCTATTTTATTAAGATGCACCCTGTTAGTTTACTCCATTCAGCTCTGTCTATCTGGGCCTTCTATCTGCTGATGGTTGCTTGTGGGTCTATTCTGATTACTGTACTTAGCTACTTAAGAGGACGGCTCGCCATATTTAACCAGTTAACACAGCACACATGATATATATATCTAATGAAATATATATATATATATATATCTCATTAGAGAGAGAGAGAGAGATATAAATAAATAAATAAATATAGATAGATAGATAAGTTTACTTATTCTAACTTGTACTATATTTTTCCAAAACAAAGCCTTGTTCACCCTACACAACTTTCAGTCTTGTAATCTGGAGCCTTGAATTCGTTTTTGTTACTGTTTTTGTGTAGAATCCAAGTAAGGCTAGTGACCACTTTGAGTTGTTGTGGTAAAATACATAGATATAGGAACATAACTTTATCGGTTCTGATTGGTTGTTTTCGTCTGGGCCTGGTAGAGTTTTCCAAATGTCATTAGGAGCACTAGGAGGAGCCAGTGGAACCTGACTTTTTCACAGATTATCTGTCTCATGTACTACTGTCAGGATATAGTGAAAGTTTCAGACAATATTACAAAAAATATGTTTTATTAAAGATACCGAGTGCAGCTTTAATTCCTACAGCTAACCAGTATCATGTTCAGTTTCTCACATTTATAACAAACCAAAGTGAGTTACAGTCAATTTTGTAGTGCAGTCTGAATCTCTCAGTATTGTTAACTAGCGGAGCTTGACCTCCCTAATATGGCGGCAGTGCAGACGTATAGTGGCAGCATACAGCAGAGGACAAGGCAGAGGTATATAAGTTGCTATATCTATGGTTAAATACATACAACTGGAATGACATAAATGTTAGAAGTAAATTAATTCTCATCTTGTTATAAATTCTGTCTGCGTGATAAACCTGTACAAATTAAAGCACTTCTATGTTCTTTTTAAAATTCATTAAGAAGGAGGTTTGGAAAAATAATACCAAGCTTATGTGAAAGTACCAAAAGGTCTAAAGAGAAGCAAGCATGCCCTAAGCACAGAACAAAGGCAGGGCGGCCTGCCAAGTGCTTTATCAGCAGTTGTGCAGGTGGCTAATTGGCTACTAGACTCAGGAAATTAATGCGTGGCCCGACATGAGGCCCAAAATGATACGATGTATGACAGCTTGCCAGGAGTAAGTTCATGGCAGGTGCAGCCACATCAAGGATAGAAAAAAGAAGAAGGGATTCCAGTTAAGTATGGTCTCCAGCTAGAAAAGTTTGGGAACCCCTGCTTTAGTCGGTTAAACTCAGAAATCATTTATCAGATGCTGTCCTGAGAAAAACTCCTGGAAAATTATTTCTCAAAAAGAGTAGGAACCCTGTTTAAGTTTAAGGTAGTATTGACAATTCTGCAGTATTAAGAAGAAAATAATCCACACAATGAAACATTGTGATTCCCTAACAAGGTCTCACTGACACCCACACTTTGGCCTTGACTGTCTTGTCTGTTTCTGTTAGACCATTGTACGGGAGAATGAGGAGCAGCTTCCTGTAGAAATCCAACCCTACATTGTGCCCAAGGACAAAATCCTCAAGTAAGTGTCTCATCTGAGCAGCTCAGCACTGGAGAGCTACAGAGATCAACTGTCGTTTTACAAAATAAGGAAGCAACATATTATTGTGACATACACTTTTGAGGTTAAGCCATGTAGAATCAGTGAGTTGGTGCTGATTACCTTTATTAAATGTCTACAGTTGGACAGTTATATCATGATGATGATGATGATGATGATGATGATGATAGGTTGAGAAAACATGCTAATTATTTTATGGATATGGTAGACTCAGAGTTAGAGAATGTCCAGTGAGCAGCACCTAAGGGAAAAAGACACCCAGAACCAAATGTAATACCAAGATGTAAAAGCACTAATTGATAAGAGGAATGAATCAGAAATTCGGTAATACTGCTTATATTGACTGTCAAAATAGTGGCTCTGGACGTAAACGTCAGTCCGTTGGTTCGTCCATTAGCATTGGTCAAGCATAGCAATGTTACCATTATCATGGCTGTGCAGAGTTTCACATTCATCTGCTGAAAGTGGAAAGTTTCTCTGTGCTCATTGAAAATCAGATTTTAAGGGGCGGGGCGGGGCCTACCAGCAGGATCTGTGACATCACAAATAGTTAGGAAGTCAGTCCTGGTCCAATATGCAACTTGTACAGTGTGATGTAGAAACTTGAAGCCACCCCGGTGCACATCCACTGAGAATGGACTTCACAGTGAGGAAACATCTTGTGTCCAGCAGGAAAACTGTAAATGAACAATGTTGCATATTCAGAGATTCTGGAATTTATAATAAGGTAAAAGGAGGAGATGACTTTGTAAAGACTTCTCTCTCCTGTTGTGCCTGTTGCCTTCAGCATTTGAGTGTTAGTCACATCTTTTCATTGTTCTGTGCTTTATTTTCAGGGTTTACTCTGAAATGTCTCAGGTAACCAACAACCTGACACATCCGCGGTTCCAGATGACAGAGGAAGAGGAGGAGGCTGATATCTTGTGGCGTTATAATCACATCAAAGACTACAGGTCAGCAACAAAGCAACACAAACACAACAAACTACTGGTGGCTCAGTAGAGCTCGTTCATCAGTCAGAGAAAATACAAGGTATTTTGCAGGAATGTATCTTAGAGCCTGTTAATACCAGCTGTAAACAGGCTCTTAGTGAGATGACTTTTTTTTTATATGAAGCAGAATTATTATTACTCATCATCTCTAATCCTTCTAACATTCATGTCATTTAGTTTCACAATTTTACCGCAACATGAGTTAGTACTGTATTCAAGGCTGAATGTATTTCATATGGGCATGGGGTTCAAGTGTGAACCTATTGTGACATTTCTGGTTTGTGGAGAACCATTTTGAAGCCTCAAGTTTGCCATTTTGGTCGTCGCCATGACCGTTAGACAGAGCCAGCAGCACTTCCCACCCATAAATGCGACCAAATGTGTTTGTTTGAACACACGATCAAGCTGGAAGTGACCCATACCAGAGATTGGACCGCATATCTCTCTGGTGGTTCTAGTTATTTCCACCCACTACCCCCTCCCCTTAGCTTAGTGTGCTCAGTGTAAACCAATCATCGCATATCTTCCAGGAACTTTACAAAGTATACCACTGCAGAGCAGTCTTTGATAATATGAAGGCGTTCAAGTTATGAAAAACATCTGGCTCTCTCCCACAAGCTCAAGGCTGCTGCTCATATTTTCTGCCAGTAAAGTACTGGCAAAGTTCAAAAGATAGGGTAGAACTATCTGAAATAAAATGTCTTTTGGATTACAAACCATACTTAACAATCAAACCAACCAACATAAAGAATTTTACTGAATTTTCTTTCACGAATGCAACTTGCTTCAATAAAGACCATCAATAATCTGTAGGATAGATAACAGATAAAGAACACTAAGCATGGAAAGGAGTTTATTTGTGGAAAACTACAATTATTACCATTCCCAATACAGTTGGGGCATAACATGCAGGAGGTTCATCTTCTCACCCCAGAGCCATCCCTCTCTGTGTAGGTTGCCCAGAAATCAATAGGAGTCACTAGTGCATTAAAAGGACATGATCCTTGACCAGCTTTCCACCCATGAATGCGACCAAATGTCTTTGTACGAACCATCGACCTGTAAGAGATTGACGTTGCGTCTCCATTTTATAGTTTCAAATAACTAATCAAAACCAAACATGACTACTAGAACTACCTAAATTGACAGAAACCATCTTTGGGAAAAATGTATTCGATGTGTATTTGTAGTACAGTTTTCCCATCTGCTTACATTGAGGCAGCAGGCTTTATGACCTTTACTGCAGTCAGCCACCAGAGGGCAATCGAGATGTTCCACTTTTGGAGAGCTGTCATGTTGTCCATCTTTTATATATGTCGATGGTTTGAACAAATGATCAAGCTGTATGTGACCCATACCAGGATTTGGACCCAATACCTCTCTGGTGGTTCTAGTTATTTTCACCCACTACCCCCTCCCCTTAGCTTGGTGTGCTCAGTGTAAACCAATTATCACATATCTTCCAGGACAAAGTTCATAAGATACTTTGGTAGCCCAAACGTGATGAAGAACTACTATTGGTAACCAATTTCTACTAACAGTAATGTGCGCTAGGGCAGTCGATACCTTTTCAGTTGTTGACCAAAATAACCCGGTATCAACATTTTTATGGGGCCTCATGAATTTTGACTCACTTCTGTAGCCAGCCTCAAGTGGTTGTTGAAGGTACTGCAGTTTTTGTTACTTCAATGGTTGCTTAATTTGCCAGCCACAGAGGTTACCACTTGGATAAACTCTGGTAAACCTTCAAACTCATGGATGTATTACTCATACTGGACATCCCAGACTGCATTTAATCTTAATATTAAATCTTTGTTTGAAGTCAAGCTAACTCCAACTCCTAACTCCTGGACTTTCATATAAGAAACGACTTCTTCTCTAACAGGAAGCTGAGCGAGGAGCGACCTCATGTGATGCTCAACCAGTTTCCCTGTGAGAGCATCGTCACTGTGAAGGACTGCCTGGCTGCTGTGGCCCGCAGAATGAAAGGCGGACCAGCACCTGATTGGCTACCAGAAACCTTCAACCTCCAAACAGAACTGCCACAGTTTATCAAGCATTATCAGCTGAGACAACAAAGGTTGGAAAAGTAGTATCACTGAATATGATACTGAATAGTACTCTGATACAACCAAATTGTATATATGTGTTCCTTTTGTACCAGCTGCTTGTCAGCATTAAACAAGAGTGTTGTTTATGAGGGACCAGCTGAAGATACTGAGGAAAGGCCTCAGAATGGTCCCTGTAAGTTGATGTTAAGATGCTAAGATGTCCCGCTGTGTGTTTCAGGGGAGAGGATAATCACTGGATCTGTAAGCCCTGGAACTTGGCCCGTGGACTGGACACACACATTACCAACAACCTGGACTACATAATCAGACAAAGAGAGAGTACACCAAAGGTACCACCACAAATACAGGCACCATCAAACCAACTTGCCTAAGTGTTACATAGTAAACTGACAAAAGCATCACAAAGGCGTCTTTTGTTCTTTTAGGCCTTCAGTTCACTAAACCAAATCTTTGTAAGTTATTCAAAAGTACTTACAGCTTAGTGCTTGTCATATGAAACCAATAAATGAATGAAATAACCTCTGCACACCTAACCAATCACTGCATAAAGTTGGATAGGTTTTGTCCTGGATGTTTTCAGCAGGGCCAACGAGTTTCTAACCTTGGCTATAAAATAGTTGGGATGATATCAGTACCTGTTCCTACTAATTATTTTCATGCAAAAATGCTGGTATCAGCTCCATTAGTTGTCTCCTATCTCCAAGTGCAATATATATAGTCGCATTGTATGTTAGTTAATGTTAGAAAAACTGCAGCTAACTAACTAGCTAATCTGCATCAATCGTTGGCTAGTTAGCTAGCATTTAGCTAATTTAACATGTGACTATATGCTTTTATCTTGTTTATTTTTTACGTATTTTTGGGCTTTTATTGCCTTTATTTGATAGGACAGCTGTCACCAGCTCTACCCACTGTTCTAACTAGGCGCCCTATATGCTTTTATCTTTTAACCATGTTCTACATGTGTTTGTCTTTCCAACACATATGAGCCTAGCGCATAGCATATTTCAGTACAGGAAAGGAGGAAGTTGACTGAGCACAGAGCAAGAAGGGTCGGGACTTAGGAAGGGTCAATTGTATTACTTGCTATAATGGCAACATTTGCATTATGCACTGATTCAGACATATAGATGTATTGTTTTGTTGCCTCTAACTGTGTGTGTGCTTGTGTCTTTTTTGTAGGTGGTGTGTAAGTACCTTGAAGATCCAGTGCTGTTCCAAAGAGAGGAGGTGGGAATGGTGAAGTTTGACATTCGCTACATGCTGATGTTGCGCTCTGTGAATCCTCTGCGTCTCTATGCCTACAACGTCTTCTGGTTGCGCTTTGCTAATAGGTGCATCATACATACATACATACATACATACACAAACATACATATGTTAAGTATGGGTTGTTATAGCCAGTTTAAAGTTGGTCAAATACACAGATTTATTGAATTCAGTGGCCACCAAATCTGGATAGATTGTCTCTTTTGTCTCTTTCTTTCAAAGTTGCTGCCATTGTCCTGGATCTGTGGTTTGAAAAGGACAGTAAAATTCAGAACTCACAGCCACTACTTTGAGGTTGTAATGCTTGTTCTAAATAAACAAGCCATGTTATAGTTATAACAGAGTATTGTGCAAATTAAAACTTGGACTCGATGGTGGTACCTGAGGAAAAGTTGGGGGATTACCCAAGTCATAAAGATATCCTCTGAGCATCATGCCACTAGTGTGACTATAAACCCTACAGGTGTCAAGAAATGTACACTTTACACTTAACTTGGCATGTCCGCATTTTGTTTGCAATGTCAAGGTCAAATTCGGCATGATATTAGTGTCTTTAACTTAATTGGTAATGATAATAAAATATTTATTTTAAAAACAGAGAATGAATTATTTCCTGGTGCCAGGATCTGATCCTTCTTCTTCTGTCTAGACCTTTCTCCTTGGACCATTTTGATGATTACCAAAAGCACTTCACCGTCATGAACTATGCAGAGGGCGTGGAGCTTAAGCAGGTACTTGTTCATTGTAGTTTTCCCTCTTTACTCATCCTAGCACTACATATTTGTAAAAGCTGGCTTACCCTCCTTGTGGAGGGT